AATTTTGATCAAAAGCAGCAATGCTGTCTTTCCATGTGCTCTTGCCTCAATAGTCATTTTCCCCCCTTGTTAGCAGTAATCTTGTTCAGCTTGAGTAAATAACCACTGTTCGTTACAGCCAGTGCTTATTGCAAATGGTGTGTAGACAGCCTATGATCTTCCAGAGTCAAAAGAACTGCATCCATTGACCACATTTAACACTTTTGGCAACTCAGTTACACATTATTGAGCCTCAGTGCTCTCATCTGTAAAACAGAGAAAATACCATGTACTTCACAGGGCAAGGAGTAGGAATATCTAAAGTGATACATTTGTAAGTGTGAAAGACGCTTACTCCTTGGAAGGAAAGTTATGACCAACCTAGATAGCATATTAAAAAGCAGTGACATTGCTTTGCCAACAAAGGTCCGTCTGGTCAAGGCTATGGCTTTTCCAGTGGTCATGTATGAATGTGAGAGTTGGATGGCCAAGAAAGCTGAGTGCCGAAAAATTGATGCTTCTGAAGAGTGGTGTTGGAGAAGACTCTTTAGAGTCCCTTGGACTGCAAGGAGATCCAACCAGTCCAGCATAAAGGAGATCAGTCCTGGGTGTTCATTGGACGGACTGATGCTGAAGCTGAAACTCCAATACTTTGGCCACCTCATGCAAAGAGTTAACTCATTGAAAAAGAACCTGATTCTGGGAGGGATTGGGGGCCGGAGGAGAAGGGGATGACAGAGGATGATATGGTTGGATGGCATCACCGACTCGATGAGCCTGAATTTGAGTAAACTCCGGGAGTTGGTGATGGACAGGGAGGCCTGGCGTGCTGCGATTCATGGGGTCGCAAAGAGTTGGACACGACTGAGCGACTGAACTGAACTGAACTAACCCTGCGCGAATCCTCCCACCTTCAAACAGGCAGGAGATGATAAGGCTGGGATCACTTGCTCATTTTAAGGAGGTAGATAAGAAAGTCTAGAACCACCTGGGGCCAGGTACACAGTACCTGCTTCTTGACTGATTGATTGATTGAAAGATACACCCTTCTTATTTACATCATCATAATTAGTTTCTTATCATAGGCAGGTAGTGCCAGAGTTATTAGCCCCAAAAGAATTTATTTTTAAGCCATAGATGAGTCTGAGTTCTATAATCATCAGAGTCTGAGTAACTGCCACAAGTAAACATGCATCAACTGCATAAGTCTGAGCTGATGCAGAGTGGAAAACTGAATGGATAGTAATGCTTTATATTTCTATCACACGATCCATGCTTCCACGTTCTCCCAAATTGTCGCATTCGCTTGTTACAATAACTTGTTGAGACAGGCAGAATTGATATTTTTATTTACATTTTATAGGCTGAGTTCATCAAATACTTATTGATTCCTTTTTATATACCTGGCCCTACACTGGGTCCTGGTGATACTGAGAGAAAGGTAATACAATTTCTATTCTCAATTTGCTCACAGTCTGGCAGGAGACACGACTATAACAACTAACTAAAGTATGTGTAGTGAACATAATGCAAGTGATGGGAACAAAATATTATAGGTGCCAAGAGGAAGGAGTGGAGCTGGGGGTGGGACAAAGCAAATATCACTGACTGACTACAAAGTGCCAGGTTCTGAGCTAGGACCTTCCTACTCCAAGGGTGGTCGGCAGACCACCAGGGACTACATCTCCTGGGTCCTTGTTAGAAATGCATAATCTTTGGCCCTACTCCAGACCCACTGATTCAGAATCTGCATTTTAACAAGATGTTCAGGACATATCTCTGCCCATTAAAAGTTGAGGAGCATTGGCCTGGGTGACGTACAGATTTTATTTAATAGACAGCCCAGTGAATTTATTTTTATTAGCCCTGTATTAAAGATAGGAGTTGGAGTTACAGAATTCTAAGTCACACAGCTATGTCATGGAGCTGGAATTCGAACTAGGCATGATGGACTGGGCTTTCGTCATGACCCTGTGATGTTTCTTGCTCTCTAGGGGTATCAGAAAGACCTCACAGATGATATCCCAGCTAGATTTGGAAGGTCCTCGATGGGAGGAAGGAGGGCCTTCCAGTCAAAATGCCTCTTGAGTGAACTCTTGGTATGGCAATGGAATAGGGCTCTTAGTGCAGAGTGTGGCAAGTAAGGTGAGCCTAGAAGATTGGAATCAAATTACACAGTTTGAATGTCACCCTAAGGAACTTGAGTCTATCCCATGAGTCGGTTTGGTAAACTGCTGTGGAACTGCGATTGTGTGGAGACGGCTATGTCGGAAATCCAGCCTCACCAGTCACTAGCTCTATGATTCCAGGCAGCGTTGCTGGTGGGATTCTCTGGAGGCAGATGCTGAGATGCACTTGGGAGAATGGTTATTAGAAATCAAGGTTTGGGAGGAAGAAGAGGGAAACAGGGTTAGGCAGAGGAGGAAAATAAGACCGCCCCTGATAGTCTTGGCCAGCCTGACAGGGAGCTCTGGAGTGAGGATATTGGCTGGTCCAGGTTGTCGTGGGTCAGGGTGTAACAGCCAGGCCTTTATCCCCACCCTGCCCCAGCATCAGAGGCCAGGCCAGGCATGACCTTGGGTGATGTGGGTCTCTATGGCTGGAGCAGACCCTGAAGGAGGAAGTTGTCTGCAGACAGCGGGGCAGCAAGTCCTCCCTTGGAGGGACTCTGAGCAGGGCACACTCGGGGTCTGCCACAAACAGTGTCCTTACTTCTGTGTCTCTGTCCTCTCATTGGTAAAATGGAAATATTACAGTAGATCACCCATAGGGCAATTTTATGCCTGGCATGTAACTCCCAGGCTGCTGGGGTTATCTGCCCTTTTGGTTATCTACCCTGACAAGATATTCACCGTTTCTCCCTTGCAGCACTTAGAATTTGAAAATATCTTACTGTGGCCTGAGGAATAGAAGACAGTCCTGTCCGATTCCCAGTTTGCCTGAAATTCTGCCATTTTTTCATGATGTCTCAGGTCTCATCATTTGTCAGGAGATCCTGGTTGAGTTAAGCTGTGCTAGGCAAAGGCAAGATTTGAGAAATGTAAAGTAAATCAGTGGTTTGAAAATATGTACGTTGAATCATAAAGGAGGGAATACAGGGTGCATTTGAGGGGCATAGACTAGGCTTCTGTACCATGGAGACTCAAAATAAGATCCAAACAGGAGAGTTTCCTTCTTGCTCATGGAAGAGTCTAAAAACGAATGGTCAAAGGCCATATAACTGACACTATTCCATAAGGCCACTTGGGAACTGAGATTCCTTTTGACCTTGTTGCTCTACTATCCCCTAAGACAGTGGTTCTTAAAGTGTAGTCCCTAGACCAGCAGTATCAGAATCACCTGGGAACTTTGTTAGAAACCCACATGGTAGGGCCCAGAAATCTGTTTTATCAAGCCCTTCAGGTGATTCTGTTGTTGTTCAGTTGCTCAGTTATGTCCGACTCTTTGTGACCCCATGGACTGCGGCACACCAGGTTTCCCTGTCCTTCACCATCTCCTCGAGTTTGCTCAAACTCATGTCCATTGAGTTGGTAATGCCAGTCAACTATCTCATCCTCTGTTGTCCCCTTCTCCTCCTGCCTTCAATCTTTCTCAGCATCAGGGTCTTTTCCAATGAGTCAGCTGTTTGCATCAGGTGGCCAAATTATTGGAGCTTCCACTTCAGCATCAGTTCTTCCAACGAATATTCAGGGTTGATTCCCATTTAGGATTGACTGTTTTGGTCTCCTTGCTATTTGAGGGAGTTTCAAGAGTCTTCTCCAGCACCACAGTTTGAAAACATCAATTCCTCAGTGCTCAGTCTTCTTTATGATCCAACTCTCTTATCCATACATGACTACTGCAAAAACCAGAGCTTTGATTATACAGACCTTTGTCGGCAAAGTGATGTTCCTGCTTTTTGATATGCTGTCTAAGTTTGTCACAGCTTTTCTTCCGAGGAGCGAGTGTCTTTTAATTTCATGACTGCAGTCACAGTGTGCAATGGTTTTGGAGCCCAAGAAAATAAAGGTGATTCTGAGGCACACTCAAGTCTGAGAACACTCACCTAGGATTTTTTTTCTCACCTATTAGATCAAAACTGTGGGATGAGCCTGTGGAAAGGTGGAAAGAAAGCAAAAAGGAGGGCAAACCATATCTTTTTTTAAAAAAGTGCCTGGAAGATGAATGTATCACTTCCTCTGACATCCTATTGTTTGACAACTGGTCGTGTGGCCACCCAGCTATGAGGAACCTTGGGATATGTAGTCTCTAACTGGGCAGTCTGTGTCTAGCTAAAACTTGGGGCTCTATATGAAAAGAAAGATCAGGGAATGAATACTGGCAGAAAATTAGTAGCCTCCAACACTACTGCAGCAGGACAGGCAAAAAAGTGAGGGGCACCACTTCCACTAATGTAGTGGGTTATGGGGACTTCCCTGGGGGTCCAGCGGTTAAGGATCTACCTGGAAGTACACGGGACTCAGGTTCAATCCCAGTTTGGGGAACTGGGATCCTACATGCTGTGGGACAATTAAGCCCCGCTTGCAGCAACCAGAAAGAAGCCCGTGTGCCACAAGGAAAGATCCCACATGCTACAATGAAAATCCTTTGTGCTGCAACTAAGACTCAATGTGGCCAAAAATACTTTTTAAAAGGAGCAGTGGGTGTGTATGGAGAGGAAGGGATGTATTTGAGAAATAGGTGCTGTTTTGATCCTCCAGTGAGGGAGAGGAAGGAGAAGTGATAACTCCTAGGTTTCTAGGTGGGTACTTGGTGATGGTGTTGCCTGGGGTAGAGATTCTAGGGAAAGAGGAAAGAGGAAAATACGACCTTTGACACTAGGCATAGTGAATTTAAGCTCACTGAGGAATGTCCAGGGAGAGATATTCAGATCTGTAGGTGGTTGGAAACACTTGTCCAAAGACCCTGAGAAAGGTTGGTGCTAGAGTTGGAACCTGCAAACACCATGGTGATGGGAGCTTGAGCATGAACTGGACGGACACTCCAGCATAGGACACGGAAAGAGGGATCAGTGCAGGGGACATTGGCATTTAAAGTGAGCACTGGGTTATACAGAGTGAAGTAAGTCAGAAAGAAAAAACCAATACAGTATATTAACACATATACATGGAATTTAGAAAGATGGTAACGATGACGCTATAAGCAAGACAGCGAAAGAGACACAGATATAAAGAAGACTTTTGATTCCAGCCTTCCCCTTCGAAGGTGCCGAGGCAGCCACTGCTGCTCTCCTAACGCTGACTGCACAGAGGTTCTCAGCATTCTCTCGACACTGAGCTGGGGTATGAACACTGTCTATTGGCTTGTGACTCTCTAGCCATCTGTAGGACTGGTTTCCAAAACTGTCATGGTTCTTTCTGCCTCCCATTTGCTTGCGCTGGCCCGTGCTGAGTCTAATTGACACCAGGTTGGTTTATAGGCTTCCCTTTCCTCCTAAGCGTCCCGCAGTCACGTTGCCTTTGTCGTGTGGTGTGTCTCACCTAGCATCCCAGCAATGAGAAGCAGGTGTTGTCACACCCTTAGCCACCACACTGTCAGCCCAGTGCTGGAAAGAGGAGCTTGATGACTAAAAAGCAGGACTCAAGCTTAAATCCACTGCACCACTGACCCTCTATTCCATGCATTTTCAAGTGCTTGACTGGCTGAAGATGCCAGACACCTGGGTCAAGGACAAATCCCACTAATGTGACCTTATTCTCTAGGCTTCCTGTTGTTCTGGAGGTCAATCATGAACTTGGCACCATGCAAAGTTGCTTATTTCCAAAGTGTTCAATTTTTTTTTTTTTAAATCTTAGTTCCTAAATGTCTGACAATTGTGTATCAGGGTACTTTCAAGGCATCTCAATTCTATGGCAACTTTCAGCATCCTGCTTCTGATGAATATTTTTGCCTGATAAAAGGACTTTGCAGCTACAGGCAGACTCCCACCATCCACCGACGGGCTCATTATCAATCCATAGTCGTGTGCTGACTGCGGAGTGGCCCCAGCTTTTTGCATATCTTGTGAGATCTCTATGGGAACACAGTCATTATGATACAGCAGTTCCTGTCTTGAGTACATTAGATAGGTTTATTTTTTTTTTTTATGGTTTCATTTCCTTTTGATACAAAAGAGAATCTTGATAACCAAAGATAAAGATATTCGCAAATTCCAGGTTCCTTGTTTCATACATGAATGTGACTTCATCATCTAAATGGAATAAACCCAGATCTGTGATGCAGCTGTGTCTTCTCTTGGCAGGTGAGTCAGACAGAATTCCATCAACCCTGACATGCTGGATGACCTGAGAATTCAGTGATTTCCTATGACATAGAACAAACCAGATTAGTAGCTGCCAACAGAAACTAGGCATAAATACTGCTGCTGGTTCTCAAATATGTACCTTATCAGCTCATTCTTCACTTTCTGCTGTTACCACCAAAGTCCAAGCTATCTTGACACAATCATTGACCTGGGCTATTAACCAGCCTCCTTGATTTCATTCTGACCCCCTCCATCCATTTTCCATGCTGAAGCTGGAGTCATCTTCTATGTAAAATGTATCATGTCACTCATCTGCTTAAAACTCACCTGTGTTCCATCTCATCTCAGAATAAAACCTAAGTTTAACACCACAGTCTATGAGGCCCTCTGTGATCTGATCGCTGCCTGACTCTCCCATCTCACATACCACTCTTTTCTGCTTTGTAGTAATCTGTCTGCACCAACTTTCCTCTACCTTGCAATGATCTATTCACAATGCCCTTCCTGTTTCTTGCTCACGGGGCCACCATATACAGACGTGCTGGTTGTGTGCTGCACAACTCTGGGAGGGGTGTTCAGTAAGTTCAGGGTACGTGATGGACCCGGAAATGCCCAGCGTGGCAGTCCAGTGTACACTCGGCAAGGCTTCAGCACTTGCTAGTCCTTCTACCTGGTACAACCATCTGCAGGTTTGTCTCACAGCTGGCTCCTTCTTGCCACCCAGTCAACAAATATTCCACAAAGCATTATTCTCTACCAGGCAGAACTAGTTACATAATTTACAGGGCCTGGTGCAAAATGAAAATCAGGGCCTCTTATTCCCAAATTATTCAGAATTTCAAGATGTTAACAGCAGGCATTAAACCAAGCACAGGCCCTTCTGAATGTGGGCCCTCCGTGACCACACAGGTCTTGCCCCCTTGAAGTTGGCATGGCAACCCACTCCGGTACTCTTGCCTGGAAAATCCCATGGGAGGAGCCTGGTAGGCTACAGTCCATGGGGTCGCAAAGAGTCAGACACGACTGAGCAACTTGACTTTACTTCGGTCTCAGCTTAAACGTCACTTTCCCATGGGGGCCCTTCTCAACCAACCATGCCAAAGGAGGCTTCTGAGTGCTATGTGAAGGCGAGCTAAGGACTTCCCTTCCTTTCCAGGTAAAATCACAGCAACTGAATTACAGATGAAATAAGGACCCTGAGTTCCATTTGCACTGAACATCTGATCAGCTTAAAGGATTTTGTGTTTCTCTTTAATGAGGTCTTGGACAGGGTCTCATTTTTCTATAAATTGGCCCTGAAGATGCTCATGGGCCTCATAAGCCAAGCCAAGGAGAACTTCGGTGTACAAAGATCAAAAAGGACTCATTACAACAGTAAAAATTTGAAAAGGGTATTATGATTGGAATTTTTTCTAATGAAAAAAAAACAACACATATTTTATGGAAATAAGGATTTCATGTGTAATAATGAACTCAACTGTATTTTAAAGTTTAATAGAAATTGCACAGTTACTAATTGGCTAGCATGTATTTTCCTGTGTTTGGAAATTAAATTTTTGCTTTGGATGAAGTAAAAATTAAGTATAACTTCATGCTTGAAGAGTCAAAGTTTTGTTGTTTTGTAGCCCTGTAAAGTTTCTTATATAAAATATGGTTAGTTCAAAACATATATTGCTTTCATTCATGAGACATTTATAATTAATGGCTTATAAAGTTCCACATACTGTATTCGACTCAGGAAAAAAGGCTGCATAGGACAGTTTCTTTATAAGATCTTCTCATCTTGTTATGGTTTCCCTCCTGCTCCTATGAATCTAATACTCTCAGCCTAATGACAGGAGAAGGAAAAAGTTCAAGGCTCTGTGACAGTGCGATAAGGCGAGAACGTGTAATTTTCAGAGAGACTGCCATTCCTGCCACCATCCTCTGGCTAGGCAATGCCATCTGGGGGCTTCAGATATGGTTTTCTGTAGTGGATTACCCTTGGGTTACTGCCAGGAGCAAAGCAGTTGTAAAAAAAATGCAACTTCCTAAAAGCTTTTGCAACCAAGGGAGAAAACAAGTTTCTGCCCCAGTTTTTGCTAATTTTGTAAACAACCATTTAAAAAAAAAAAAAGAAGAGAAAAAAACAAGCCTATGAATGATATGCATTTATACCTGTGGAAAGCAAAGAGTCAGACACGACTGAGCGACTAAGCACACACAAGGCAAAGAATGAAAGTAAAAGCTAACCATGCTTAAGGTACCTCACTCAGTTTGTCTGTAGTCCTAGACAAAATTATGAAGGAAACAAACCCTGACTTCCTTCCTTCTTGCCCCTTTTGCTCTCAGAAAAGTAGCTGATAAACTAATTTATGGAAAAAAAGTGAAAGTGTTAGTCCCTCAGTCATGTCCAACTCTTCGTGATCCCATAAACTATAGCCTGCCAGACTCCCCTGTCCCTAGAATTCTCTAGGCAATAACACTAGAGTGGGTAGCCATTCCCTTCTCCAAGGGATCTTCCCAATCCAGGGATCAAACCTGGGTCTTCTGCCTTACAGGCAGATTCTTTACAGTCAGAGCCACCAGGGAAGCCCCAATTAACTTATACTAAAGTATAAATGACTGATAAAGCAGGTAAAAGGAATCTTTGGTAAAGAGCAGAAAGTTTCAGTGGTAGAATTTCAGCAGAGCCAAAAACTCATCCACAAACTTTCCCATCTTGCGGGAAGAGAGAATTATCTATATTTCTTACCTTCTCTCATTTTACTTTCTCTCTCTCAACTTTTGTTTTGGAAATAGTTTCAGATTTACAGAGAAGCTACAAAGATAAACAGGAGCATCCCCACGTATCTTTAACCCAGTTACTCCCAATGTCATTTTATATTACTGTGGTACATTCCTCAAAATCAAGAAACTAGCATTGGACTATTCCTATTCACTGCACTCCAGACTTTATTAGGGTTTCAGCAGTTTTTCCACAAAGTATTGTACTGTTTGCTCCAGTCCAGGACACCACACTTCATTTAGTCCACACTGCATTTTTTTATGCCCAGTCTGACCTTTTATCCCCAGAATTCCACATGTAACTCTGGTCATGTTACTTCTCGCCTCAAACATGCCAATGGCTTCCATTCTCACTCAAAGTAGAATCCATAGCCATTACCACACAGTCTGGGCCTTCCTTCAGTTCCCCTTCTAACTGCCAACGGTTCTCTCCCATTTATCCCACTCCAGCCACATTGGCCTCCTTGCTCTTCCTTCCACCTATCAAGCATGTTTTGCCTCAGGACTTCATACTTACTATCACCTCTACTTGCTATGATCCCACTAAGAATGCTTTGTCCCTGGATACCTCCCCAGCTTTTGCGGAAGGGAGGTAAGGTTGAAAGAGCAGGAAGCGGTGACCATCTCCTCCAGGCTTGCCAGACACTGTCCTGATTTTAAAACAGAAAAACCATGGGAGCCCCCTTACTTTCTGGAAGACCAGGACAGTTGGTCACCTAGCAGGGGTAGGTTTGTGGAGGGGATTGGCCAACATTTAATATGGAGGCCAGAAAAGGCCTCATGGACCGGTGAGGGATTGAGTTTGTGGTTCCTTACTGTTGTATGGTTCCTGGGAGCCTGTCTACAGAACCCGTTGAGCATAGATAAAGGAAACCCCATGGTTATCAAAAAACACATTAAAAAAATTTTTAATGATACAAATGTTATTTACAAAACAAAAATAGACTCACAAACATAGGAAACAAATTTGTGGTTACCCAAGGAGAAAGAGAGAGGGGGAATAAATTAGGAGTTTGGGATTAACAGACAAACACCACTACATACAAAATAGATAAACAAGAACCCACTGTATAGCAGAGGGTACTATCTTTAATATCTTATAATAATCTATAGTAGAAAAGAGTCTGGAAAAGAATATGTATATCATATATACATACATATGACAATTCAGTTTTATATATATATATATATATATGCCATACACCAGAAATGAACACAACATTGTAAATCAACTATATTTCAATTTAAAAAACAAAAAGAAAAAAAATTTTTTCCCTCTATTTTTCTTGAGATATAATCAACTTATGGCCCTGTATAAGTTTAAGGTGTACAGCATAATGCTTTGACTTATATACATCATGAAATGATGGTACAAACTTTCAGTTGTGAGGTAAATAATTCTTAGGGGTGTAATGACAACATGATTAATATAATTAACATTACTGTATGTCATATATGAAAGAGAATAAATCCCAAGAGTTCTCATCACAAGGAAAAGTAGTCTTTTTTCTATTATTTTGTATTTATAGAAGATAATGGATGTTCACTAAACTTATTGTGGTAATCATTTAAAATGTTGTTTTTAATAATTTCACTCTTAGATTTACAAGATCTACAAAGGGCCAAGGAGGCTTTGGAGCCCAGGAAATTTGGGGTCAGGGCTCTATGTGACCTTGAACAAGTTACTTCATTTCTCAAAGCCTGAGTTTTCTCATTTGTGAAATGAAGGTTATAGAAACCTCAAGAGTTATTGTAAAGATTAAAAGAGTTAATATACATACACACATATATATAAGGTGCTTTTAACAATTCTGGCACATAAACACTCAATTATAATCCATTATTGTTGTTCTTTTCTCCCCGTGTTTTTGGCAGGGCATCAATATTCAATGTAAGTGCTGCTGTGTTCAGGACACAGGGATGCATAATCAAGGCCTGTGGAAAGGGAGCTAGGGGGAAAGAAGGCCATAAAAAAGGGGGGGTCATGAAAGATAAGTTAATCTGGGTACTTATTTTAAAATAATTTTTATTTTGAGATAATTGCAAATTTACACACAGTCATAAGAGGCAATTTAGAGACCTCTCATATACCCTTCCCTGGTGGCTCAGACAGTAAAGAATCTGCCTGCAATGCAGGAGACCCAGGTTCGATCCCTGGGTTGGGAAGATTTCCTGGAGAAGGAAATGGCAACCCACTCCAGTATTCTTGCCTGGAGAATTCCAAGGACAGAGGAGCAGAGGTCACAGCATCAGACACAACTGAGCAACTAACACTTTCACTTTCACATATTCTTCACCCAGCTTCCTGCAATAATAACATGTTACATTACTATAGCACTATAGCATGATAGCAGGTACTTTTCCTTTTGTTACTGAAACTAAGACTGTCATCTTCAAGGAATGAAATAAACAGTGCTTCCAGCTTGAGGGTGGAGGGCTGGGGGCTGAGGAGTATAGGCCCATGGTGCTTATCACTTCAGTGATGGACCATTGGGTGGTCACTTTTTACTGCTCCAATCCACTATAAACCACAACCTCTACTTCTGATAGAATCATTTCTTAGCAGTGTTCTCTTTTGCCTTTAGCATAGTCACACTCACCACTTACCCCATGTTTGTTATGGCCACAGGATTTGTGCTAAATACTCTTCATGCATTATCTCCATCTTTACAACAGCCCTAGGCGATAATACTGTCCCCATTTCATAGATGATGAAACTGAGGCCTCATAGGGTTAAGCAACTTGCCCAGGTCATATCAATCTAGAAAGTAGGAGAGCTGGAATTAAAACAGGACCATGTGACTCCAAAACTGTTCTTATCCCCCTACTCACCCATGTCCTCTTCACGTTCATAGCAGAGGACAGAGGAAAGGGACTGGATTCACAGGTATTTCGCTTCCTTCCTCGAACTCAAAGTTGAGTTGGGGGCGGGGCGGAGGCAACATGCAGAATATAAAAACACAGATGATTATACAAGGTAGTATATGTAATACAGGAATCCAGGGTGACCTAGGGACCCAGGAGCAGGGCATTTGGGAGAGGCTTTCTGTGGGAGGCAGATGAGGGAGA